GGGGGGGGGGAGAGAAAAGCAGGAAGAGTAAGAGTATGTGTGTATTTTCTAGTGTATGTATGCATCAAAGAACTCAGGGAAAAGACAGATTTAATAATAGTGGTTGCCAAGAGGATGGGATCTGGGACTTTTCACTGTGTACACTTTGATTTTTTTTTTTTAAAAAAATGTTTTTATTGACTTTAGAGAGAGAGGAAAGGAGAGGAAGAGAGAGAAACATTGACCAGCTGCCTCTTGAATGCCCCCTACTGGGGATGGAGCCTGCAACCCGGGCACGTGCCCTGACTGGGAATTGAACCAGCGACCTCTTGGTGCCTGGGACAATGCTCAACCACTGAGCCACATCTGCTAGGGCCACTTTGATCTTTTTTAATGTGTATATATTACATATTTTTAAAAATTATATTAAAAAACATCCCAAACTGTAGACCTATATAAAGTAAAAAGTGAAATTCCCCCATTGTCCTATCTCCCACCTCAGAGCCATGCCCTGGAGGTTACCACTGTCCATAGGTTGATGTCTACCGTTTTAGACGGTTTTCCTTGTGTGTGTACACAAGCAGGAATATATATCTACCCATATATTTTGTGGGTTATCATTTGTTGCTTTTTTTTACAAAAATTGGGTTATACCTTACATACTATTCTGCAACTTGACTTTTTTCCCTAAGCTATCATGAATATCTTAGTTCTTGTAAATCTGCCTCATCCTTTTAAACAGCCACACAATTCGTAGTATGCGTTGTCCTTTATGTCAAAAACAGGCATCAATCTAGTGTTGCATTTCCTAGCTAGGTTTCTGTTTTGTACACACCAAAAAGGAATGGGGAGGTAATTTTCTACAGTGCTTTTAAAAATTTTCCCCAGCAAAAATCCAGGTGCCCTGGACCTTGCGAATCTCACATGTTTACTGAGTGAAAGAGCCAAAGAATTTCTCCTGAAGAACAGAGTGCAGACCTTCTACCAGCAGGAGTTGGAAATAGTGGAGTCTCTGCTGTCCCTTGCCAACCAGCCAGTGATTCACAGTGCCTGCTCCAAGCAAGTAAGTTTAGCTTGTCCACAGGAGAATTCAAGTCCCCTGCCCCGAATCTGCAGCTGAAGGGTGTGAGTGGATGTGAATGGTGTTGAGACTCACAGGGTGGATCCAGGGGATAAAGGCTATGGTTTTATTACACGTCCTTTCTATTCTGGGAAGGTCGGTGACCTGTAAGAATTTGAAATGAGAATGAATGGACCTGCCCTTTTCCTCTCATTTAATCTCATTGAGCTTAATCTTTGGGTAGAAAAAATATATAATAGTCTAAGCTTTATAGTACTTAGTTCCTAGTACTCATTGAGATGGGTATTTAATCTCAGCAGGAGCCAAATGTGGCGGGAATAGATGAGAAGGAGGTAATTATCCTTCTAAGATTGTTTATTGAACTTGAACCAAGGCTTTTACTGACTTTCTGTCTCTTCTTCGGAGTAAGGTTAGCCTGTTGCATTTTAGGAGTTTGAATAAAGACCAAATTGTATTCCTTCTGGTTTATATGTAGAAACTTCAAGGAACACTTTAAGTCATTTTTGTTTCTCCTGAGAAAAGCTGGGCCCATTTTTCCACCTCTAGTGTTACAGGTGAACTTAAGTTGTTTGGTGTTTCCATGTTTGCCTGGAGTTAAGAATTATTTGAGACTTTGGTGTTAGATGGTCCCTTTCATTGCAGTCCTTGGATTTTTGTTGTTGCTGTAACATGACTTGTATTTATTTATTCCACCAGAGGATGATCTCTGCTTAAATGTCGTGACCTTCCTGCCCTCCCTGACCATCTTCTCTGATAGCCACTTGCTTCCTCACTAAATTATCACCCTGTTTTCATGTCTCCTTATGCCACTGGTATATATTTGTTTGCCTGTCTGTTCCTCCACCAGAATGAAGTTCTCTAAGAGCGGGGGTCTCGTCTGTCTTACTCTCTGTCCTCTAGAGCCAGGGCCTAGAACAGTGCGGTCATAGCATAGGTTTTCGTTAATTATCAGTTAATTGAAAAATGAGTGGTTTTTTGTTTGGTTGGGTTTTTTCTTTTCTTTTTTAAACATATCTTTATTGTTGAAAGTATTACAGATGTTCTCCTCCTTCCCCCGCATTGATCCCCTTGGCCCCGAATCCACTCCACCCCCAGGCCTTCCCCATACTAACGTCTGTGTCCATGAGTTATGCATATAAACATATAAGTTCTTTGAAGAATGAATGGTTTTTAAGAATTCCTTTAAAGTCCCTGAAAGTGCTGTATATTTATCTAGTAAGTTTCCTTCCCATCCTCCCTCCCATCCCCTTTCTCCAGAAACAAGCACTGTTACTAGTATCACAAATATTCATCTGGAGATAGTCTTTGCGAATATAAACTAGAAGTAGTTGTATCCCTTTTTTTACACAAATGGCCTCATGCTTAAACTCTGTCTATCCCTAGCTTTTCATTGAACATCTTAGAGATCCTTTCCTAGCTGTACATAGATTTGCCATTATGCAATAATCTTTTGTTACATGTGCCGTAATTTATATAACCAGCCTCTAGATGTTTTCTCCAATCTTTTACCATTACCAACAGGGCTGCTCTGAATTCCCTTGTTAGGTAACATAAGTTGCTTTTCATGATTTTGGCAGAACAGATACCAGGTCCCCATCCAACTTCCTAGTCATGACCACTGCTTCTCAGTTTCATTCATGAACCTAATTATCTCTTCCTGGCACCAGGCTGTGTGTCCAGTGACCCATGATTTCGTACACAGAGATGAGGGATATTGTTTCAGGAAACACCAACGCGAAGAGGGTCATGACTGGCCGCTTTGTCCTGTGCCATCATCACTTCTAAACAGTTGCAGCAATCCAGCTGTCCCCTGACAGCAAGATTGACCTTCTTCCATTTAATCATTTAGAGGGGGCTCAATGCCAAGTTGGCCTCCAAGGACTTCTGACCACTCTATTGGCGTGTTTGGAAGGAAACTTTGAAGCTTAGTGAAGACCACATTCTTCCAGTGAACCAGCTCTTCTGCAGTGGCTCTAATTAAGTAGAGGGACTTGAGGTCTCTGAGGACTGAAAGGCTCCTCCAAAACAATCCATGGAGAACTTTTGCCATGATCTCTTTTCGAAATGCTTAGAGCAGAAACTTGTGTCTGCCCAGTGCTGTATATTTAAAAAGAAATTAATATGGCACTTTGTTCTGTCTTTGGAAACTATTTTTCCATCAATTATGAATTGTTCCCTCACATGGCTCTGCTCGGGGAGGTCGGTGTCATTCAATCGAATCCTGTTTAATTGAGCCTGGGAGACTAAGGATGCTTTACAGTGATGGCGAAACCCTAGATCTTTTGGTACTTTGTGTTGTCATACAGATGAAAGCTTCACAAAAAATTATTGTGATCGTGTTCTAGTTGATAGGCAGAGGGAGAGTGGGTTTGAATGTTTCCCCCCCCTTTTTTTTTTTCCATCGTGGCCCTTCTTAGCAAATCGAGGAACCTGATAAGCAGGCCTTGCAAAACCATTGTTTCTTTGACAGCTGGATAAATGTTGAGTTTGTTTGGGAATGAAGACTATATATATTTCAGAGATCCACCCAGTTCCTGACCTGCAATGAGGAGAGGCCTGCTAAGGCTCAGCGCATTCAGCCAGTTTTTTCCTCTGAGCAGTCTCGACTTCCTGAATCAGATGAGCCTGTCATTGCTCTTTAGAAAAAGACAAGACACAAATCCCAAGCCAGGAAGAGCTACTGGCTAGAAGAGATGATTCGAGGTTTTACCCTTGAGATTGTCTTTATAAGCAGCAGGGAGATATGTCCCGAGGTCAGCTGAGGCAAATGTTTTTGGAAAGGAAGCTTCACATTTTGTTTATATTTACAGAGAGCCTTTTCTGTTGGGCCCGCCTTGTTCACAGCTGAAACTGCTTTTGAGCTCGCAGGCCTAGCACCCTCTCCTGCTGCTTGGTCTTGCTGAAGTCTCGGAGGAGAAAACAGGCTTTATGTATGTCTGGGGATAACCAAGAGTCTTTGTGATGACAGGAGTAATTATGTAACATTTCTAGTTAGTTTCCAATTTAGTTCTATCTTGATCAAGATGTAATACCTACTTGACCCTTAGGATTCTTGTATTAAATGGAGTAAAAAAAAAGAATCTCCTTAGAAGTATGACAATTAAGTAGTTATAAAGTTTTCTGGGGGAGCCTGTATTGGGTTGTGTTTCCCCTAAGTAAGAACACTCCTGTATGTAATTAAAAACAGCTTTGTGTGCAGCCCTCGTGAATTAAAACCTGTGTGGCTGAGGATTGCTAGGTAAGGTGTTTATTCTAAACACACCCAGATGGCTTTTCTCTCCGTGGGAGTCGTCGAATATTTCTGGGCCTCATTCTCCCTTAAGAGAGTAGGTGCTGTCATAACGTGGAGCATGTGTCAACTCTTAGGCCCTGATGTTCTAATGACCTGGTTCTGCAGCTTGTTCTGTTAAGGAAAAACCTGGACTATACTTTGAGTCTTAGACTCTCCTATTCAGCGGGGGAGAGCACAGACATCACCAGGATCTATTAGATTAAAGTAATGCCTGTTGGGAAGCCCCTTCTAGAAAGAAAAGGTTTCTCTAGGGATGGAATTCTCAACACCTGAGGCCATTTGGGGGTTTCTTTCCTCTCCCTGTCGCTTTGAGGAGGTGTCGCTTTGAGGAGGTGTCGCTTTGAGGAGGTGTCGACAAATCTCAAGCATATCCTCTTTGTTGGCATCTCTGGGTGCTGCCCAGACAGCCTTCATCAGTACCTTTCACTGCAGGTAGGACCTGTCCTTCAAACACCTTTTTGTTTGCTTTGCCACGTTTTTTTGGTGCTCTGATCTTTTAATATCTGGACAAATTTCTGTCAACTTAAAAATGGATCTGTACCTTGAAGGACAACAGTTGTTCACCACTTTGTTGTAGGAATGAACTGAAAATCCCTAATGGAATAATCAGAAGGATGCAGCCTCTATATTATTTCCATTGATTACACAAATGTGTCTTTGATAATCCTCTGTGTGCCAGGGAGAAGGTGGCCGAGATGAAATACAAAGTCCCCAACCCAAGAACCACAGTCTAGTCAACCAGGGAACATAGCTGAACACCTAGCTTCCTTGGGAATAAGAAACAGGATGACCTGGTCACCTTGCTAGGCAAACCTTTCTCTTTAGAGAAGGAAAGAAACATTGAAATTGAGGAGACAGCAAACTGACAGCGGCTGAGTTCCCTCCATATAGTGGTCTTGCTTCACTCCAGGACCCCTGCCCACCTTTAGCCCCAGACCCACCTTTGACAGGTCTCTGCAGAACCATTGCCACCACAGTTCTCCATTTAAAATAAGGAGACTATTTAATACTACATGCTGCAATCTCCAGCTTATTAAAGTTCTTTGAAGTCCTTAGGAAGAGATTGTATATAGCCACAATTTTAATGGGGAAAAAAAAGAGCTAATATGTATATAGTGTTTTAGTTCTGTATAAAAAAATTGTCCTTTTGAGTTTTCCATTTTATATCATTGGATTAAACAAACATGTTAACTAAGGTATGGAACAGTTACCAGGCATGATCCTGCCGGAGCAAACTTCCCAATCCTCCTTAAATACGATCCTGCTAGGCGGGTGCATACCTGGATCTTTTTGACTCAGCAGATAAAAAGCCTGTTGGGTGAATTCATAAACCAGTTGGTCTAGGGAGTTGCTGTCAGGTGCTATAAGATGGGACTTACTTTTTTCCCCTTTTTCTTCTTCCCACAGGCAGATTTTAAGAATGACACCACTTCCAAGGCAATTCACAGTATATTTAAGAATGCTATAAAGCTCTTGCAGGAAAAAGGATTCATTTACCAGAAAGATGGTGGTTTTGACAACCTCTTCTATGTAAGAGACTTGCAACTTAATGTTTTTCCTTCTTAGCTTCAATTACAAATGTATTTATTATTGAAGAATACCCATTTACTGTTTTTAAAAATCAATCATTAAAGAGGTGCATAGAGTAAGGAACCCCAAGGTACCACTTTTAACAGGATATCCTTCTAGGCATTTATGCACTTATAAATACATACATATAAATATATGTTCCTTTGGCTTTTACAGAAACATGTGGTAATTCTCTAAGCCAGGGTTTCTCAACCTCAACACTATTTGGGCCGGATGATTCTTTGTCATGGGGGGCTGTCCTTTGCATTGGAGAATGTTTAGCAGCATACCGGCCTTCACCCACTAGATGCCAGTAGCAGCCCCCCAGTTGTGGCAACCAAAAATGTCTCCAGACATTGCCAGGTGTCCCCTGGGACAGTTAAGAACCACTGCTCTAAGTAATATTCAGCAACTTTTTTTTTCCACACCAAAATAGCACATTACAGCATCGTCCCATGTTAGCACTTACAAACCTACCTGCCTTTTTGACACCTGCATGGTGTTCCATATTACGGGACTTGCCGTAAATGCTTTAACCCCTTTGCTCTGATGGACATTTATGGTGTCTCCAGCTTTTGCTCTCACAAATAGTGCTGCTCTGGCTATTTTTGCACAGTTATTTTTGTGAACTTATGTAAGTATTTCTGTAAGGTTGGCTCTTAAAAGAGGAATTGCTGGAGCAGAGGCATGTCCCTCGAAGCTTTTGGTCAACACAGCCTGATTGGACACCCAAAAGCTTATACCAGTTGACATTCTCACTAGGGGTGCAAGGGCTTGCTTGTCTTATACTTTTAGAGTTAAAAGTTCACCTCTCACTGCCTACCTTTAATATTGGAGGAGCCAGGCTGAAATCGGGCCTCCTCATGACCATTGATATCAGTAGCATAGATGTGACTTCAGTGACGAGCGATTGACCTGGAGACAGATCAAAACTCTGAGACATCCCAGAAGTCTCACTATTTACAGGCATGATTCCCAAGGGGAAGCTTCCTTAATAGGACATTTTCTTGATATTGACTTACTCTAGTGATTCCACATTTTAGAGCATTTTTAAAAATTAATAGATGTTTTAAAATCTATTCAAATAGCTTTTGAAAAGGGTATTCCAATCTGTTTAAGGGTGAGTGCAGTCCACTCCCTTCCTGGATGGGAGGGCCTGGTGGGAGTTGGTTGCACCTTGTGGAGTTGTAGAAGCTCATGAAGGGCAGTTCACCTTAATACCCCCCATCTGCACCCACCCACCCCCAGTCACATTGCCTCTGGGAGGCTCTGGGGTTGGACAACTTGAGTCTATAGAAAGCAGCTCTTCTGAGGAGCAGCAGGACCATGGGCAGAGGTCCATGGTTGAGGTGTGGCTGGGCTGGGGCGCTTCCTCCTATGAATCAGTGTGAGCTGGAATGGGGTGATGAAGCAATAATTGCTCTCTCTTCCTCAGTAGAACAATCTCCCTTCTCTTAATGCACTCCTCCCCTTTCAACTAAGCTGCCTGGTCTTGTGGGTTTGTGTTTTCCTGAGGGTCTGGCCTCAGTGAAATGGTTATCACGGTAATGTAGACACTGCTATTTGTATAGTGCTTTTGAGCTTTCACCCACTTTACCTTATTTCATCTTTACAATAACCTTGTGAAAAGGCAGATATTTATCAGTGTCTTAAAACAGATCACTCTGCAAGTCCCATCAAACAAGCACTCCCAATATACAGAGTGGGGCAAAAGTAAGCTTACAGTTATGAGTACTCGAACCAGAGTTTATTCTTGTATTTATTATTGTATTATTTTCCACACAGACAGCTGTAGACCTACTTTGGCCCCACCCCGAATGTGTTTGTTTGCATTCTCCTTTTTTTGTTCTTCCTCTTTTCCTTCCTTCCTCTTTTCCCTTTCTACTTTTTAGTTTGTCACTAGATTTACTATTGAACATGAAGGGGGACCCAGTATCCTCTTGCTAGCTTTTCCTTATAGTTTTATTTCTTTTGTTTTTCCTTGTGGTAGGAGAAGGAATAAAACTAATGAAACTCGAGGCAGATGTGAGAGTCCAGAGGAGGGAGTCCTGGGGCTGAGGTCAGAGACCTTGGTCACTTGTGCCTCCCTCTAAAATATAACCAAAAAGAGAACTTCTATGAATGTGTGATGAATATTTAAAAAGAATGTTGCTCCTTAAAAGTATCTCAATTTCTCTTTACATCACGGTCCCAGTGAGCCACCCCTGAGGAGTATACCTCTGGGTCAGCTACAGAGCAGTGACCTGCTGGGCAACAGAACTGGTTTGACAGTAGGCCAGTATTGAAAACTATGTTTTTGGTGTAGGGATGATGGTTGTTATGAAATCTTTAGAAACTGTCTTAAATACTAATTTGGGAGTCTGGATTTCACAACCTGTTACTTAAGAACACTTTCTCTCCAAACATTTTTCCTATTTAGGTAACCAGAGAAGACAAAGAACTACACAGAAAGATCCACCGAATCATTCAAGAAGACTGCCAGAAACCAAATCGTAAGTGGTGTAATGCACATGTGTCCTGATGCACTGGAAGGGAATGTTTCCTCCCAGAGAGCACAGGATGGAGAGTGGGGCCGGGGTTTTCCCAGCAGCGAATTGAAAGTATGACTTATCAAACACCTGCCCTCTCAGAACCTCAGGTCCGTCCCCTCTAAAGTCTTCCTGACCTTAACTGCACATAGAATTCAATCTTGGAGTGTTTTGTGTGTGTGTTTTTAATATATCTTTATTGATTTCTGAGGAAGGGAGAGGGAGGGAGAGAGAGAGATAGAAACATCAATGATGAGTCATCATTGATCGGCTGCCTCCTGCACTCCCCCAAATGGGGATCAAGCCTGCAACCAGGGTATGTGTCCTGACTGGGAATCGAACTGTTATCTCCTGGATCCTAGGTTGATGCTCAACTGCTGAGCCACGCCCGGCCGGGCTACCTTGGAGCTTTTTTGACCATATGGTGCTCAGATCCCACTCCTGGGTATTCTGACTCATGAGGGAATGGTTTGGGGCGTGACAGGTGAGCTCCTAGGTGATCCTAATACAGTGATGCAAGCCACTGGGCTAGGACTTTTTTTTAAAGTTGATTTTAGAAAGAGAGAGAGAAACATCGATTTGTTGTGCCACTTGTTTATGCATTCGTTGGTTGATTCTTGTGTGTTTTCCCGACCGGGTATCGAACCCGCAACTTTGGTGTATTGGAACGATGCTCTAAGCAACTGAGCTTCCTGTCCAGGGCCTGGGCTAGGACTTTTTGATGTCCCTCTGGCTCTCATGTTCTCTGTGGTTTGTGTTATTTCTTGTTCTACTCTTGCCCCTTGTCTTTGAACCCAAACCTGAAATTTTCTTCTCCTCTGACATTAAGCCCTTCAGTGTTGGGAAGTTCTAGACATTACAGTTTATGAACAGTGTAATTCAGTCATCGTGAAACCTAATAATTTGCAAAAGAAGTGGTTTAGAAAATGGTTGGTTTTAGTGGAGTTAGCTCAGCCCCTAGTGGTTAAAACTCAAATTGTAGATAGTTTGACAACAGACATTACCATTTTCATACCAGTTAGAAAGAGAAAAAAGCATTAGTCCTATCTTTAAATCCTGTGTAAACTGATCAGTTTTAAAGGTGACTTTTCAAAGTCTGTCGTTTGCAAACATCTGATAATAACAAATGTTGGCATATGTCAGCAAATGACCCTAGAAGAAAAGTGAAAAGGCTTGTTAATGACCACAGCTCTCCTCATCCTGCTTTCCTTCTCTCCAGGGAAGTCCACCTCCAGTCCTTTCCTCCCATACATCCCTGGGGCCTGGTCCTATTCCAGGCTGAGTCATGGGGTAGGGCTGGACCAGGTCTCTAGCCCTGGTATTTGATATGCAGCCATATTTAGCCTTTAAGAACCAATGAAGTCAGAGCCCAGAGTGGCAAGGTGACATATTAAAATAAACTTAAAGCAACCAGTTATTTTGAATGCAAGTTTTCTGGCTTTTGTTCACTGCATTCAGAGCAATAAGAACAAGTATCCTTTAGTTGGGGGGGGTCTATCTGCAATTTAAGGAGCTTTTAAGAGCAGTGAGGTATGGGATTTCTCAACCAAAAAGGCACAGGAGGCTGTTCCCCATGTAACATTCCTTCACTCATCCTAGTCCCAAGCCACATGGCCAGATTCTTATTTTGATCTGCATTAGGAACAGGATGGATTGAAATAATGCTAGGGCCTGGTAAAGCAAATGAAAAGAATTCACACTTTATTTCTTAGGAGAACCAAATAGCCATGGTGACCTGAGGGTCTGTAAAGTGGCAGGTTTTATTTCCACTTCTAATCCACAGGCCGGCTCTTACTTTCGTGAGTGTGTGTGTCAAGGTGGATAGTCTCTGTCATTCAGTCTGTAAGTGGGAGCCTCTAAAAGCCAATTCCTCGGAAGTAGTAAACTCCCAGGAGCTGAATTCTGAGGCTTGAATAACTGCGAATGCCAACAAAAATACCTTGTAAGGATTGTCTGTGAGTCTACGGTGACCACTTCTTTTCACAGGAAATATCTGTGACATTACAAAAGTTATTCTGAATAATATCATATACACATGATTAAAAGTCAAATAGTGCAAAAATACACACATAAAAGTCAGACTTCCTCCCAGCGCTGGGACCCAAGCTCTGTGTTCCCCTTCCCAAAGGCAGTTGTTGTTACTAGGTTCCTGCATAGCCCTCTAGAGATGTTATATGCACTTATAAACATATTTATATAGTTTATTCTTTTGTAAAAGCACAAGTAAAGATTAGCATACAATACTCAGTGTTCCACACCTTGTATTTTAAATCTAACGTTGGCTTCTAGAGGTTATTCAGCAACAGTACACACAAAAGTGTCTCAGTATTTTTAATAGCTGTACAGCATCCCATTATTTGTACAAATAGATATTTGGCCATTTACTTAACCATTCCTACTGGACCTTTTGTTTGTTTCTAACCTTTCATACAAAATGTAACATTGAGTTTTACCTTGTCAGGATGATTGGTGGGAGAACTTAAAATCTTTAGTCATTATGAGTATTTAAACAGAGGTTAAACCTACAATAATAAAAGGACTGTAAATATGAGCCTTGCTTTAGGTCCTTAAAGCACTGATACCGGGCTTATCTAAAGATGGACAGCATAGCATAGTTGTAAAGAGCTAGGCCCTGGGGCTACCTTGTCTGGGTTTGAATCCCAGCTCTGCCACTTTGCAGTTGTGTGACCTTGGGAAGCCTCTGCCTCAGTTGCTTTATATGTAAAATGGGGATAATACTGCCTACATGATAGTTATGAGGATTAAGTAAATTGGTGTTTTATAAAACTATTATGAAGATGGCAGAGTAGGAAGCACCAGGAATCTGTCTTTCCACTTAGGCAACAATTGCATCTGTCTGGTGTAACTATTTTAGAACTCTGAAGTCTATCGAATGTTTTCAACTTCTAAGGGACAGTAAATTGGTGTTAATTTTAGTCAGTTTTCACCTGTTTGTAGCAGCTACCCATGCCTCACCCAGCTGTGCACTTGTTCTTGGTGCAGGTTGCACAGAGCTTGTGGGAGTTAAGGTAGGCAAAAAGTAACCTGTCCTTAAAATATCAGGGATCTGTGCTCTGATTGCTGCTTCTGATTACAGAGGTTCAGACAAAGAGGTAAGTGGCCATTGTTTTTGCATCTCCTCCCAATGTTGCAAGCCCATTCCCCAACAGCTGAAATGAAATTCAGGGGATTTAAAGTACTAGTGCCCCTTTTTTATACCCCCTTTATTTTCCTTTTCTCCCTCTTTTGGGAACCAGAAAAGAAAGACTAGTACATTCAGTGGCTACTGCATATGTGGGGGAAATTAGAAAGTGACCACATATTCCCAGAGAAAGGCACAGGCTCAGTAAAAGACCTGAAAAGACCTTAAGTTTACACCTCAGGTGGTACTTGGCACAGAGACAGCCTGCAACAATAAAAATAATAATAACAGAAAACAGAAAATCCTGAGGAAGGAGGAAAATCTGATCTCCAAAATTACCACATTATTAGATTCAAATGTCCAAGTTTTCAACTAAAAATCACAAGACATACAAAGAAACAGGAAAGTATGGCCCATTCAAATGCAAATGTGTGTATATATATTGACAGAAAGTGTCCCTGAAAAAACATAACAGCAGATAACACTAGACAGACACTTTAAAATAGCAGCCTTAAAGATGCTCAGAGAACTAAAGGAAGTTGTAGAGAATGTCAAGAAAATAATTGGTGTGGTGAACAAAATGGAAATATCATAATGAGATAGAAAACCTAAAAAGAAACCAAAACTAAAAATTTGGAACTGAAAAGTACAGTAACTAAAATGAAGAATTTACTAAAGTGATTCAAAGGCAGATTTGGACCAGCAGAAGAAAAAGTCAACAAACTTGCAGTTAAAGAAAAGTGAACAGAGCCTAAGGGACCAATGGGACACCATTAAGTAGACCAACATATGCATTGTGTGAGTCCCAGAAAGCAGAGAGAGAAAGGGATGGAGAGAATATTTGAAGAAATAATGGCTGAAAACTTCCCTAATTTGGTGAAAGACATGAATATAAATATCCAAGAACTTCAATGAACTCCAAGTAAGATGAATTCAGGGAGACCACACCAAAACACATTATAATCAAACTTTTGAAAGACAGAGAGAATCTTGAAAGCAGCAAGAACAACTTATCACACACAATAAGATTAACAGCAGATTTCTCATCAGAAACTTTATAGGCCAGAGGCGGTAGGCTGATAAGGATGATATAGTCAGTGTGCTAAAGAAAAAATTATAAACCAAGATCCGATATCCAGCAAAACTGTCCTTCAGAGATGAAAGAGAAATCAAGACATTCCACAATATACAAAAGCTGAGGGAGTTTTTACTATACCTGCTCTGCAAGAAATACTCAAGGGAGCCCAGCAGGTTGAAAGGAAAAAACACTAGACAATAACTCAAAGCCATGTGAAGAAATAAAGATCTTAATAAAGGTAAATACTTGGGAAATTATAAAAGCTAGTATTTTTGTAACAATGATTTATAACTCCACTTTTTGTTTTCTACATAATTTTAGAGATTAATATACTTTTTTAAAAACAGCAAGTAAGTGAAGAGAGAAAGGGACAGAAAGAATATTTGAAGAAATAATGGCTAAATTTTATATTATTGTAACTTTGGTTTTTAACTCTTCATTTTATTTTTCATATAATTTAAGAGGTTAATTATTAGTTTTTGTTCTTAGGCTCACAGTGTATAAAGATATAATTTTGTGACATCAACTGAAATGGGTAGAGACAGCTACAAAGGAGTAGAGTTTTTGTATGTTATTGAAGTTAAACTGGAATAAATTCAAACTAGCGTATTATAACTTTAGGATGTTAAGTGTAATCCCATGGTAACCACAAAGAAAGTAGCTAGAAAATATATACAAGGAAATGAGAAAGAATTTAAATGTTTCACTAAAAAAATTTTTTTTAAATCATCTAAACATGAAAGA